CGTCTCTAATCTCTGTTTTATTCATCTGTTTTATTCATCTGTTTTAGTGTATTACACTAGCTGACCTCTGTCTCACGGAAAAATCGATTCCTTGGTGTGTATTGAAACCTAAAGCTGCAAAAAGGAAAAGCCTTTTGGCTGGTTTCTTCACAACGACAAAAGAAAATAACCACTAAAACTTAAGAGTAATAAATATACATTTAAATGTACTAATAGGACTCCAATCCTTGGATTAGCATGAATTGGTTTTTCGATTAGTCCAATAAAAATGGTCTGGATAGATGTTTTAAACTTTTCTCAAAAAAAAAAAAACTCAAAATTACCAAAGTAACTTAAATAAATTTTGAGGATAAAATAGCTCTTTTTGACTTAGTCGAATCTGTTAGCCCAATTTGTTTAATTTTATTTTGGACCGAAACCTAAAAATATTTGGGTTTGAACCTAAGTAACTTGATGGATAAAGTCACATGTAACTGATCTTTGTTTAGGGTGGTGTAGCCACACTACAAGAGATGATTTGAGTAGGAAATTGAGTACTCAAACATAGATGTAACCACATCATTTGGGAAGCAGCACATGGTGCCCGAGTTCTCGTATAAGGAACTCGGTCTAAGTATGATATTCTTTCTTTAGGCGTGAAACTCAAAATCTGTAAAATCTTTAGAAGATAAGGGTTGAGTTAAAGAGGAAAAACTTTCATCTTATGTGTGTGAAGATAAAAGCAAGTAGTTTCTTGTCTAAAGAACGATTAAAACTGGTTCCGAGGAATACCCCAACATCAGACCTATCGCATTAGATGCTACCACCGATACGATGAAGACAAGGCTCAATGTCGTAATCCTTATCGTCGGACAACTGGCATGAAATGATAAATATGGTAGGTGAAAAGCACCCATGTGCAATGTACCAGATTGAACCCGAAAAATTAGACCCTCTCCATCTAAGGGTGCGAAGTTCGGTATACGAGCACATACATGTAAAAGTATATAAACGCACTCCTCATTAACTTCATAAACTCCAATATTAACTTTCCTATAACTACACTGATCCCATTCTTCTCTCGGGACTAAGGCCTAATCTTTCTATATCTTAATCTCATTCCGACTGTTTAGGGTTGTCTTCTCTAATTCTTCTCAGAAATGAATATAGTTCCTTGACCATTTGCCTCCCAAATACTTTGTTTTTTTTCCTCAGTCTCACCCTAAATTTCTTCACTTAAACGTCCTAACATGCTGCAGCCAGCCCTGATTGGGCCTAATGCCACTTCTTTCTTCGTATTTTTCGTTTTCCGACATTATTTTCTTGTTCTCCAAGTGTTTTTCGTGTTTTTTTTCTGACTCTTTTTTGACATGAACATTGGAGAGCCGGAAACATTAAAATTATACTTTTTTTTTTGCCTTAACGTATTTGTTGATTGCGCAAAATTTTATCTCCTAATAATTTTTAGAATTAATAATTTTTCAGTCAAGTTGTATTGAGTAATTACCCCTATTATAAAAGCAAAAAAAATTGATATTATTCCATGTGGTAAATTTTTAAAAATGATCTTAAGAATGGTGAACTACATAAAACATTGTGTAGCAAAAAAAACTACATTGGTTCACTCGGAATTCGAACCGATATGGTCGCTTTGTTTAGAGTTAGGGTTTGGTCGACCTCTTCTACCTCTGTATATATATTCACTGATTGGCGTTAGTTCGATCGATCTCAATAGTTCACATCGCACGGTTTCCATAACGTCGATTGGTGTCAGAGCAACGCATCGCTCTGAATAACTAAGTGTGGCTCTGATACCAATTGATGCAATGGAAACATCGATATTTGCCTGATTCCTTTGAATTCAGCTTACAACAAATTCCTTGTGGTTTCTGATACTCGATTTTACATAGATCTTGGACTTTGTCTATGTCGTTTTCACAGAATAGCACTATTATTGTTGTCTTGAATACATAAAAGAAAAGTAACGAAAAGTTTGAAAAAGCGGTTTGTGGCTAGATCTCTACGTTTGTGTTTGTAACGAGTATGTATGAGCATAAAATAAAGAACACATAGAATTTTTTCACGAGG